TATAAATCTTTTTATGTTCAAATTAGAAAACCTAGCACATCATTGTTTGCTTAAGAAATGATTAATAAATCAGGTCAGGGTAGTGGTCTCAGAGAGCCATGTCTAAAGGCTTACATTAGGCTAAACCAAGAGCCATTTCCTGAAATATTCCATCTGCCTTTAACCCATGGGACAGAAAATGACATTTACCTCCTAACTTTGGTGTGACAATTGACTAAATCTATCCTCCATTTTCTTTCCATGGAGAAAACCACATTTTGAATCAAATGTATGATATGTCAAGATCATTGTATTGTCTTGAGCAACTAATAAAAAATAAATTAATTAAATAAATAAATAAATATAGAGGTCAGACCCCTCCCCAGCCTAAACACCCTGATGGCTGATCTCAGCAGTTTCCACCTGTCTGAGTAGCACAATTGCTGGTTTGTACTGGTAGTACAAACACTGAGACCTGCAGTCTCAGTCCTATGCCCAAGACCAAATACTGCTTGTTAAAAAAGCATTAAACGAGTCACCTATGACAGCCTGGGAATCCTGTTCTACTTTCTTACTACTGTAGTAAGAAGTGTGATCAGCAGACCAATAGCATCAGCACCACATTGTTGAAAATATGGAATCTTCTGCTCAACTCTAGACCGTCTGCCAGTTGAGATGACATTCAGGGGATTTCAGTGCTCAGGAAAGTCTGGGACTTCCTGTCTACATTCTTCTAGATGTGGTTCAAGAATTGTACTGTCTGCTCTGAGCATGGGATCTAATCCACTTGCACTGAGGCTTCACTCAGTGCTTGTTCCCTTTCTGCTCTGCAGCCAATCTCTCTCTTAATGACCTCATCAGCTCACAAGACTTTTAACTATCATTTAAATGGTATCATTTCCCACTTCTATTTCTCCAATACATAAGTTCTTTCTAAGTGTTTCCACAGTCATCTGTCTCATTGCCAAATGGCCACCTTACCTGCACAGCACAACACCTTGTACATTGAGCCTCTGAGGTGCATTCAGTTATCCTCAGCAGTTCCCACTTGTCTGAGTAGAACAGTTGCTACTCAAGTTCATCTTCAATGTATTTGTAGAATCCAGTCATTTCCAGTTTTCACTGCTTGCAACCCAGGTAAAGTGACCAACATGTCCATCCTGAAGGACTTACACTAGTTCCCTACATTTTTCTCTACCTCCTCACCTGCCCCTTTCCTCTCCATACTGTTCTCTGCAGAGCAGCCAGAGTGAGTCCTTGAAATGAGAAGTTGCCCTCATCTGTCTGCTCCAGACTGCCTCACTCACATTAAGAGTCCTTCCAACACTCTTCAGCTCCACATGTTCTGTCTGTACTGATAGCCTCCTCTTCTTGATGACTCTGCTCCAGTCACACAAGCCTCCTTGTTCTTCCAGAATGCATAGACACACAAAAAAATCTTGCCCTAGTGCATTAGCACTGACAGTTCCCCTGCCTAGAAAACAATTCCCCAGAGTCCTCATGACAGAGCTCTTCATGTTCTTCAAATCTGTCACCTACCCAACAGGCCCACACTGACCCTATGGAAACTGTCATTTTCCCTGTACCTACACAACAGCACTCTGGATCACATTCCCTGTAACACTGACCACCTTCTAATATGAACACTTTTCTTACTCAGGGCATATCATCTGCCTGTTCTTAGTGAAAGTCATATTTCACAAAAATAGATTTTTTTTCTGTTTTTAATTCCAAGACAGGTTCTAAATGCAAAAATTTTGTGTCATATACATAGTACTCAAAAAAAATATCAATGGAATGAAAGTTCACTGTAAAGCACCTCCATAACCTAGAGACAGTATATATTCATTAATGGAGCCTCAGACCAAAGTCTGCTCTGTTGGGAGCTGCCCTGGATGCAGACTCCTTTTAAGTCCTGATGCACTGGGGATCCTGAATTATTGCATCTCAGTAACTTGGGCGTTACCTCAGCTCAGATAACAAGGTATAGCTCCAGGTGTAGGTGTCACCTGCTGGGGTGGGGGTTACACTTATCTGTTCCTTTGTAATCCTATCCCTTTGCCCTTTTTGGGATAGAATGTTCTATGAAACTTCCCCTGGTATGTCCACTATATAAGAATAAAGAATTCCAGTGGCTCTCTCTCTTTCCATGGACCCCTAAGGTCACAGAGCCGTCCTGGATTTTGAAAAGGTACTTCTGTGCATTTGCGTGCTTTCTTCATCATTTTCCTAAGTGATTGGAATAATCATATTTTGTGAACCCAGCATTAGGTCGCCAACTAGGGTAGATGGTGATACTGCTCTGTGGCAGCTTCAAAACAAGGTCCTCTCACATTGAAGTCAGGGCCACCTGGGCTTTTCTCACCAGTGATGCCTCCCCTCTCATACCTAGGCTCCTGAGTCCTGTTTTTAACCAAATAAAAATCTCTATTAGACTCTGCTTTATGAATCTATAAGTTTAGATAGGAGCCATAAGTTTGAATAGGAGCCATCATTAAGACTAAAGATAGGGAGGAGCATAGGTGAGCATAGGAGATAGAAACCTAGTAGGAATTTATCAAAGATGAGAAATAATGACATGCTTCCTCTCTGCTATTCCCACAATCTTATTCATTTTAAAAAGATTGGGGACAAGATTGGAAATATAACAGCCCAGGAAGAAGGCCAACAGCTGGACAGTGAAAATTCATCTCTTGATAGCACAGAGACCCATGTGCACAAGGGCTGCCCTCAGCTGTGTGGGGACAATGTTGGGGAAAATGACTCCTATTACACTCAGAGCCAGGCGACATCCAGAGGAGAATGACACCAGAACTCACACAAAAGAACAAGAATAGGAAATATCCTCCCATGGAAACAAAGAAATAAAAACTCAATACAGGAAAGTTGGCAACTAAGAGCCAGAGCCGAGCCTGACCCTAGGTTGACCCAACCACACAAAGCTCTCACTATCCAAGGTCTTGAGTCTGGGCAAGGGCCAGACAATGTCAAAGTCCCTGTATTCATAGGTTTAGTGGGACAAGGTTCTACTGAAAGACAAGGACAAAGCAGAATGGAAGATGACCAACTGAGGACTGACTCAAATCCCACAATGGACTGAGCACCAACTGGGCACAACTTGAACTCTCAGCTCCCCACAGCCTTCACCTGTCCCCACCTGTAATGAACTCAGCACAGAAAACACATGGATTCTGGAAAGTTCTCAGTTTTTAATTCCTCTCTCAAGTATTAGGAGTCTTCCTCTGCTTTAATTAACCCATCAACCATGAGAAGATTCTTATTTTCAGAGAAGTAAGAAGCTACAGCTCATTGTACCATGGAACCGAGACAGGAATGGAGACAACCCAATACACTTCGGCTGGAACAAGAAGATTGACAGGGAATAAGGGAAGGAGTGGGGTAGTGGGTCTTCTTGCTTTGGGACAGACCACTACCACATTTCCTCTAATTCTGCCAACAGAAACACATACAGACTCTCTCTCTCTCTCTCTCTCTCTCTCTCTCTCTCTCTCTCTCTCTCTAGTTTCAAAAGAATTCAGGAGTACACATGTCACAGTAGGGACGGGAACAGACTTCAAGAACTCTTGTGTTGTCCAGTCCCCCACAAGGTAGCTGTCTTGCACTCTAAAATAAAATAATCATGAATGAATTCAGATCAGTCTCTGTAAGAGGTAATACTATGAACAGTCCAACGCACAATCAAATGTCTATACCCAGCATCCCCTTTACACAGTTGTGTTCCCTTTACCCTATCTGATCCCCCTTCTTCAAGACCACCAAAACTCACATTTACATGCCATGAGAGAGTCATTTGGGCCAAGACCACTGTAACTATCTGGAGTAGAACACAACAAGAACTGGTCAGAAGCCACAGCAGATGTGGCTAAAGGAGGAATGATGGGGTGAATGACTCCCCCAGGGGCTCCAATCTAACTCACCCAGAGGGTCAGGGGTCAATTCTACTCACACTTACATGTAGCCTGACTATGGCTACCTCTTTTTCCATCTGTGGGAAGAAAACAACTTGGGAGAAGCCAGAGAGGAAGCAGGGCCAAGAAGGCCTAGAGGAACTAGAAAATCCTGAACCCCAGGGAATTACAGAACTGTGATTGCAGACCTACAAAAGGAACAGAAAATATGAAGAAAGAAATGTGAAGGGATTGGGACCAACTGCCTTCCTGGAGGTTTGGCCTCAGCAGGGACCTTCCACTCAGACCTCTAACTGCTAGGAGTCAGGTCCCATCACTCTAGTCGTCAATGTCATCAATCTGTCCTTTACTTTCCAGGTACTGTATAATAGAGTAACTTTCAAGAACTGGCCCCAGACTGGCTAAGCACATGTGTGTAAGTGGTGCTTCTCCATAACTAGGGAGGGCATGTTTCTACCTGGGTCTGACCCCCACCTGCCAGGAGCTCAGACCCACTTCCTCACTCTTTCCCTACCTGTGTTCCTCCTCCTCCACATCACAGGAGCCACCACAGCTCCAAGGAGGACCAGGACAGCCGTGATGCTCACAGTGAGGATGGTGGGCTAAGGAGGAGGCTCTTGGGAAGGCAGGCAAGGTTAGGGCCCTTGACCCCCAAATTCAGAACCTGCTGAAGGTGCTCCAACTTTCCTTGACAATAGACTTTGTTGTCCCCACCGGCAGGACATCAACGTGGGTGGCGAACCTAGGCGGGAGGAATGAAGGGACAAGAGACACGGGAGATGACAGCAAGACAGGAGTTCTGATCAAGCTGCAAATTTTCATTGTTCACACAGAGGTATTTATATGCTGGGGATGGGGAAGCTCTCTTATCAGCAGTTGCTGGATGTGGGTGGTAAAACTGCCAGCTGCAGGATGTCTGATGATCCTGATAACCACAGGATGTTTCAGGGAGATAGATGGCTGCAGGATGTCTCCCAGGCAGGATGTCTCCCAGGGGGCTGTTTCTTGTAAATGTCAGGCTGTTCTTTGAAGGAGAACTTCCTTCTAGCCCCTGACACTTTGTGTCCTCATGTCCTCCTTACCCTTTCTTAGGATGAGAGGCTCAGGCAGCTCATGATACTGCACATGTCATGTATATGTCTGCTCCCCTCCAGAGGGAACACCACAGCCGCCCACTTGGATCATCCATGCACATGTCCTCCAGGTAAGCCCTGATGAGTTCAGCCTCTGGGACAGCCTCCCACTTGGTACCTGGTGACCTGAACCACCTTGTCTGATGTGGTTCAGGAGCTCAAGTCCTTTATCAAGGTGAGGAAATACAACACGATCCTAAGCATTATGATGGTACCTGTGGAGGAGGCACCCATCAGTACTCACTTTACAGTGAGACATCCTCTGGAATATGTGAGATTCTGGCCATGACCACTAGATCAGAGCAGCCCTCTTAGTCACACTCTGCTGTCAGCCTCACCTCCCAGATCCCAAAGGGCAGTGACTGGTCAGAACTCCTCCCTCTTTGTGCACTCAGGGTCTCTGAAATGGAAGGCAATGCCCACAGTCTCTTACCCTCTTGCTGGATGGAGGGGATAGGGAGGTGGTAAAGTCAATAAAGTCTGGATGGTTTCACAAAGACCCAGAGATCTAGTCATCAGGGTTCACACATGGGGGACCCTTCTCCAATTATATGCACTAGGCCACTGTCACTCACCAGCCTCACTCTTGTTATAGTAGCCACATAGGTTATTCAAGTCTGCAAAGTAAGACTCTGCAGAGTTCTGGATGCCCAGTGTCTCCTCCTCCCAATACTCCAGAACCTATGATTCCATCCACTGCTTCCGCAGCTCCATCTTTGGACTCAGGATATCACTGTGGAAGCCCAGGATCTGCAAGCAGACAACATAGTGGACTGCAAGGAAGCGGGGCTCTAGGCACCTGGGTGGGGACACAGCTGTGTGGAAACACATGAAGGAATGGAGCCATGGGGACCCATAGAGGCTGAGACTGGTGTAACCCTCCTGCCTGGGCAGGACCTAGGGTTCCAGGTTGCTGGGGCAAAGGGGAGTGAAGGTGGAACACAGGCCTTGTGAGACAGAAAAGGGGTGAAGGGAGGTAGATAAAGGACTAACTGAGGTCAGTTGTGAGGAAGGGAAGGAAAATAGGAGGTAAGGGGTAGGCAAGAGGTAAGAACAATGAGTGGGGCTGGGGATGTGGCTCAAGCGGTAGCGCGCTCGCCTGGCATGCGAGCAGCCCGGGATTCTCTCTCTCTCTCTCTCTCTCTCT